GATTCAGACTGTACAAGATCTCTGAGGCGTCTTTCATATTTATAACCGTATCAAATCAGTAACTGTAACCATACCGAAAGTCTGTCTGTCTATTTATCTTGATCGCACACATGCCTTTTTACTTTTCCTGCTTTTCATAATGTTGGATTTAGCGGAATGTACAAAAAACGTTTAAGGTATTTCTCCCGCCTTCTTGGCATGCCTTCCTGGTGTGTTGGTCTGCACGTTGGGCGGGTATCCTGAGGTTCGTGGTTCGATTCCCGGCGAATGCGTCGCATATTTTTCATCTCTCCTGCTTCGAAATGACCTAATGTCTCTACAACGGCTCTTTTCAGAGCGACACACTCCCTACGCAAATGAAGCTCCTGAAAGTAGCTTCATTTGCGGAAAGTACGAACAAATGTATTGCATCATGTGAGTTCGGCATGAATGAGAAGATGACTCGTGATAGGAGGGAAAAGGTGCCTATATTAAAAAAAAGAATAAATAAATAAATAAAACCACTATGTCTAAAAAAAGGCCTGCGCCATGGATCGGTGTCTTTCTCAGAAATGGAAAAAGTTTTAAGTGACTGGATTCTATACAGCAAACGAGAAGGTTAGGTCATAACCCGAACTGCGATACATTTGCGAGGCATGAAGTTCATGAAAGATGAAGAATTTGCTCCTATATATTACTCTTTTCGTGTATCACAACATTTGTGCATGACAATCGTGAATCGTTATGGACTATGTTTACGCTAACGTAGGAAAATTTCTCAGAAAATGCCGAGTCAACTCGAGTATAAATTAGTAAACTTCCGAAAACATGTAACTGAAAAAAGAAAAATAACTAATTTTAAAATGTCCCAAATAGGAAGCTTGAATGAAACACCAATGACTTTTGCTTTCCCTGAAAATTTCACTGTTGATAAAAGGGGTGAAAAAACAATTCAACTAAGAACAACTAGTAATGAGAAAACTCGTTTCACAGTAGTTCTTACCCGTATAACAAGTATCCAATGATTAATTTCAAGCAAAAAATTTTACCGAAAAAGACAGCATTTCCAGCAGGTGTTCTTGTTCGCACCCAGAAAAATGGTTGGATGGACGACAATCTAACGACTGTTTCGTTTCAAAATGTATGTTGCAAAATACAAGGTGCACTTTTAGTGAAACCTTCGCTTTTGATTTGGGGTATGTTTTGACCGCATCATTCAGAAGTTGTAAAAAAGTATGCAAAAAATTCAAAAACAACACTTTCTACTATCCCAGAAGAGCTGAGATCCATTTTATAACCATTGGATATCAGCATAAATAAGTCATTTGAAGTGAGTATTGGGTGGAATGGGTACAATCGAATTTGCCTTCTAAACCCAGAGGTGTCAATATTAGAAAGCCGGACATAACTTTAATTGTACGGTGGGTGAAAGACACTTCGGAAATGATTTCAGCTGAAATAATTAAATCATTCAAAAAGTGTTGCATTTGCAATAACTTGGATGGCACAAAAGAAGACGCAATCTATCCAACTGAAGATAATGACCCTAGCTGGGTAATCAGTCGAGTGATGAAATTTATGACGACTCACTAATGACCGAAAAAGAATTTCAGGATTTATTTGCAGATTCTGACTTTGAATCAAAATTAAAAAAATCCGAATGAAATTCTTTGAAAATTTTGTATATATTTTATTTTAAAATTTTATAATGTGCTAAAATGGAGTGGTTTTATGGCTGAAACCCCTATACAAAACCCCGGTTGTGATAGAGGGTTGAAATGAACTTCTTCTGACTGCAGTTCTAACAATAACATGAATTTTTATAAAATAAAAACTTTAACATTTGCGGTTCGTGATGATATGGGACTTGGGATTCATTACGTCCCATAATTTCAGAAAGTTATTGAACAGGAAATTACACTATTAACAGTATACATGAGGAGTAATAAGTTCTAGCCGTCCAAAATGCCCATAGTTCCAGCAGGGAAGTCCTGACTCTTCCCAGGAAACCACCTTCCTTGCTCAGAGCCAAAACATTTTCTAACTCTGGTTGTCGTTACCTCTGCTGAACTCCCGGGAATTCCTTCACTCTTACATAACAAAGGTGCCCACATTTTGAACTTTGATGAAAAGACTTCTTTTATTCCTCGGAATGCCCTTCAAGGCTGCAACCGGAATCATTAACAAAGGCACTTCGTTTCAACAGGATTAATCCTCCAGCGTGACATTTAGACAAAAACACTTTGACAGTTAGACAAATGACCTCTATGGAAAAATATCACAATGTAAATAAACAAGAATTCACTAATGTGTGAATGTAATTTTACCAAGTATGCTTTTTCACAGGTGGCAGCGACGCCGCTCATGCGACAAATTTGTTTTCCCGAAAATTACGAAATAAAAATACGAGATTTATACAAATTATATAAAATTCATACAATCATTACAATTTATACAATTATTAAGAAATATGAAAATTTTTTTTCCCGAAAATACGCGGGGTCGACTTATATGCAGGTATATTCGGTATCTGACATTTCCCACAGTTTTTTTATGACTGCCATTTTGAGTGTGATTTAACACTTTGGAGACATATTTTTGGCGATACGTTGAGAAATACGTATTTGACGGTTTGTTCACTAATTGTTTGAATTCTTTACTATTACTGAATATGCTGGATACTTGAGTTTAAGGATGCAGCGCTGCCTCGATTGAAACATAAACCTTTCGAAATAATTTCTTTTTGGTAATGGAGAGTTCATAAAATATTAACATCTAAGGAACTTTTCTTTTTTTTGAAATGAGAGTTCTTTTTTTATGCGGTGTGAAATTTGGCGACTTATCAATATTCTGGAAATTTCATAATCTGTTCTTAAACAAAATTTTTTATTCGAAGATTTGCGAATGTTTGGACGATTTTTTTTTTTTTTTTACAAAAATAACAACATTGATAATTATGAAATATTTTTATTTGTTCCTGTCTTATTTTTAAGTGCGATTACTTTCGTTTTTGTGACTTAGGAATATTTTGATTTTGAAAACTAAACAAAATAATAAATGCTGTTAATATAAACCACATTTTACAAAACATTTCTGAGAATAAAAAAAATTGCTTCCATGATTATTTTTAAATTAATTTCTTTACTCTTCATTTACATTTTTTTTATTATAAATGGTTTCTCCCATGTAATTGTGTCAGAATATTTAAATGTGTATCAGTTTTTTCTTGAGAATTCTCTTCACGCTTTTCTGAACTTTTTTTTTCCGAAAGTCATCTAGCCTTTTGCTTTTACAGAGTTTGTGAGGATTTTATACTCAGCATCTCGAAAGGTTTAGAAATTTAAAAGCAAGGTTGGTGAAAATAAAATTATTTGAATTTTCTCCTTTTTATTTTTTAAGTCTTTCACTTAATATGCTTATCCTTCCATTAGACTCAAGCATATGTTTAACTTTCCATTAGAGAGAAGCATTGATGCCAGAAAAGAAACTAAAAATCAACAATTCATTAAAAAATTCATCTTACAATTCTCAGTGCACCATAGATACCTCAGTGGCTGCTCTAAATTCTAAAATTTTTGCCATTCCTAGATTTTGTTGTTCAGTGCTCCTCTAGATTCTAAAAATTTTTCCACGTTGTCTCTGGCTGTGCCTCTGACCATGTATCATTTCCTATTAATTCTCAATACACATAATATTAAAGAAATAACAGTTTCTTGTATACATTCTAAGTACAAGCAGTTCTTTAGAATAACATAGGTCTGTAATTAAATCAGGAAATTCTAAAATGAAGAGGAAATTTACTGAATGTTTCAATGAAGAGAGAGAAAGTTTTTCTTCAAAGGTACATTGTTGAAACAGTAACAAGTTAGGAGATGAAGCGGCAAATAGGGGCACCATTGACTTATTTATTGAAAGAAATAATATTAGAAAATATACTACAAAAGGAAATTCAAATAAATTAAATAAAATATCTGAACAATTTTCAAATGAAATAGATGAAATGAAGCTTAAAAGAAAGAGTATAAAGTTAACTGTTGATAAATTTTAAAGTTACTAGTCTTCTTTAAAATATATGGGGTTGTTATAAGTGTAAAATATCAATGTTTTAAGAAATTTTATAATTGAATGCTAATTACTTGAATTATGAAGTTGATTTTATTCTTGAATTTGTTTTATAATTAAGTTAAATATTAAATTAGATTTAATAATATTGCATCCTCAAAAATATTATAAACTCTTTTCCTCCAAAAATATTATAAAACTGATTCAAAACAGATTCTGAAGATATTTTTTCGTCCCCTCTGTGCCTACGTATGTATCTCGCATAACTCAAAAAGGAGGAGTAGCCTCAGAACGTTACAATTTTGTATATAGTACTGGTATAACGTGTAGATGGGCACCTCCTATTTTGGTTGCAGTCGCACCAAAAGTATATAAATATATGTATGTATATATATATATATATATGTTCACTCTGTTACTCAGCTCAGTAAGCTCAGATTCTTTACTCTTATATGTTTGTAAATTGTGCATTTTTTGCTTTAAAAATGATTGTGTTGTTCTGGTTATGATGTTTACGCCTTTAATTAACCTTCATGAAATAATTGTGGAAATATCAATAATTTAAAAGTTGTTTAAGTGCAGCTAAGGTGATTTTTTTTTTTTTTTTAGAAGAGCAGCCATATTTGTTTAGATTTGAAACCTGGCAAAATAGTGGATTTGTTGCCATTCTAGAAAAACTAAGCTTCGCAAAAACGAAATAACGTCTTATTGCAAATTAAATTACGTTATTTTGATTACTTGGAAATAAATTATGTTATTTCACCGCTAGTTGATGGTGTTTTCCTAAAGCACGATGATCATGCATTTCTGTTCTCATTTTGGATTAATTTAAAGGGTTATTTTTACCTTTCTTCTGTGCTGGCAAATCATTTACGCCTGTTCGAGAATTCGCCAGGTTCCTTGTAGAATCTAGTTAAGTTCATTGTAGAATGTAGTATGTGGAATAGAAGAGACAAAGCTTACAGCTGTTGTTCACATAAACTTTATTATGGCTTATTTGTGTTACAAAAAATTTAAAACAACTGTGTGGAAATAAACAGGAAATGCTGCTTCAATGTAATGAATGAATTAAAGGATCCACTCTTTTGACGGGAAAAAATTGACACTTATGATTATCCTGCTTTATTAAATTTTTGAGCTAAGAAATTTGCCTATAATTAGAAATGACGTAGCATGTTTGCAGCACATAAACATCCTTTGTATGCATATACCAATAAACCATCTTACATATTTCCATTACATGTAGTTGGAGGTGTATATAAGTCGTAGGTGTTTTGATAGTAATGGAGGTAATCCGAGTTTAATAGCATCTTTTTCTACATTTTGGATGTTTTTTCTTATAGTTATATAGCACAAATTTTCTAACGTGAGACACTGCTTCGAATTATCAATAACATAATTAAATAGTTTTATTCGTAGGTCCTTTAATATCTTGCAGCTTATCTGAGTTTCGAAGACAGCTTCCCAATTTTGGCCCTCTAAACTAGCACCGGAAAGTATGAGTAAATCTGCCACTCTCCAGTATACATATCGACATGCATAGAGTAATGGAGTGAGGCCTTGGCTGTCACGTTTTTCGATGTCGATATCCTTTCCCGAAATAAGAAGTTTTCGAACAAGTATTTCTTGGTTTGTCACAACTGCAGCATGCAGAGCAGTCCGCCCGTCCCAATCAACAGCATTGAGGTCGCATCCGCGGTCTATCAGCAGCATACAGAAATCTAGAAATGCTGGATAATTTGCTGTATCTTTCAATACCGAGCCAGCTCTTTTTATAGCAGCTATCAGTAACCGATGGTGAATCTGAGGAAGAAAGTGATAAATAGAATTTCACACAAATTAATGTATTTGAATAACAAGAAATAAATTTCACCCCAAGTTGTTGATGAAAAATGAAAAAAGGGGTTTTCGTTTATTTCCTTTCTTTCAAATTAAAGTCATTTTGTGTATATTCAGGATAACGTTTCGAAGCAGTTATTATTTTGAAAAACACCTCATTCCTTTCATTTCCTAGTTTTTGCATCCAAGCAGGAAAGAAGTTTTCCTACATGATTTAAAAATTTTCCTTAAACCTCAGGTTGAAGCGATTCAATAAATGAAATGCACAACTTTATCTGGAATAGTTAAGATCAAAATCATAGAAATTTTCCAATTTAATGATTCCATTAACCTTTTGAAGACGGGATGGCCATTATAGTGGCCATAGATTCCTCTCTTTGAAAAGACAGGATCGTCCACTTTACTGGCCATGTCTTTTTCCCCCCCTTTTCCAAGCTGAAAAGTGGGTGAAATGTCAAATTTGACGTCCCTAGGGTTTTAATCACTTATCTCTTTCAAAGGTCTTCCTTTTGCGACAAAGATGCACCCCTGTGAGAATCCATTAAACTACACACAGGAATCTTTGTTGCAAATAGGAGGTGATTTCTTAAAGGGGGAAAGCATTCGGTTCAAGATTCCCCGTCCTTTGGTAGCTTTTACTGCTACCAAAGCCCCGGCCTCAAAAGGTTAAATCTTGTAGTAATGATCAGCTGATATAATTTGTCAACATTTTACGTAAATATTTCTCTAAGATAATCTATGTTATGTGCAAGGACTTTATTCCTAACTTTACTTTGGAAACTGCATTAACTCATTTTAACATTTACAAAAATTAAATCAATTATCGAACGTAATTTCAAATAATTCAGAATACTGATAAAAAATACATATCTACATACACCATTTTCAAACTACTTAGTTAGCAAAGGAGAGAGTGTATATATAGTTTTAAATGAATTTATGTTTTCATTACATCCGTTCATACCTATTTGAATTTTACACAATTTTAAAAATAATTTCTGGTTAAGCTAACTTTTCCTGGTAGGGCGGGTTACTTTCGGGAAACTACTGTGTTTGCATTTTTCTTTGCTAATGACTGAAAGTTTTCAGAACAGACATTTTGATGTAGGCAATGGCTTTATGAGAAACTGATAGAAAGAATAGAATGGATCGTGAAATGTAAAGAATTTTAATAAACTATTAGTTAAGCAATCAAATATCCAGAAGGTTTTAACCAATAGTTCTCAGAACGATTTTTGAACAAAATGTTTTTATAGTGTTAGGTAATGAGAATAAATAATATTTCGGACTGTGCAGCATCTAAGCTATCACTGCTCAAGGGCGTTCTTCATTCTGACTGAATATCACTCATATAATTGAATAAGCTTTAAATAATGGTTCCATATAAGCAAGTTAAAAGTGATTTTATCAGTTTTGTCAATACCGAGTATCTCTGTTTTTCATCTGCTTTCAGTGGGAATATTTGATCCGAAAATTTTACAATATCAGTTTTTCATTTTCTGTGTAAGAAACCGTAAAAAAAAAAAAAAAACGTTTTTGGATAAGACAAATTTAGCTTCCTTCAACACGCTGTTAAAACTCTCAAATTTTAGATAGTCTAAATGTTTTTGAATCTGAATGATATATTTGTTCTTGAAAAAATTTGAAGAAAGATTTTGCGAATTTCCTGAATTCCGAATTTGAGAAAAAAAAAGAAAAAAAAAAAAGATATTTGGACAACATTTGTCCATGTAATATATTAACATTTTACATAACTTTTCCGTAATTCAAGTAACGCACATAAAGATGGCATTAATCATTTTACTAATATATTTTTAGTTGAAAGAAATATAATATTGTTACGATATCTCCATATCCATATACAATACATATATACGGATAATTTTGGGGAGTTTGTACATGAAATTGTTCCATTTTTCTGTATAATGTAACATGAAAAGATTGAGACAAACGACGCTCTGTCGGAAAAAGAATAATACAGGAACAAGTTTATTTAACATTGAATAAATGTCTTTCTCCCTAATTTGGAGAAATATCGCCAATCTGGCAACTCTCTCGGGGACTAATTTTTGTCGCCATATTTGGCTATATTTTTGTCCTGTCCCTGCATGACTGCAATGGATATGGAATTGGAAAAATAATTTCATTAATTAAAAAAATTGGCTATATTTCCTTCGAATATCATTATATTTATATTCAAAATATAAATCAGGAATTAGGTAATTTTTGGGAAAAGACATACATTGTTAAACAAGTAATACTATGTATAGGGTGTTTGAGTACAATGGTTACATACTTTCAGGGGGGCTAGAGTACACCAAGACGATGAAAAATCCCGAAGCGATGCATAGTCGGAAACGCTTTCCTGACGTCGTAATGGCAACACTAAACAAATAAAGGACAAACACGAAGTGGGTCTGAGAAACAAGTTTATCATGCTTTGTACAGCAGAAACCAAAAAATAAAAACAGTCCACGATTGCCTTCAGAGAAAGTGTTTGAAATTACGAACCCGGACTGCGATGCATGCCACATATCTGCAGCGCATGGAGGATCTGATGTTCTGGAAAATGCTGGAATCCCCATTAGCTGCCACTATGCCTGCAACACGTTCTTCAGCACTGCTAATGGGGTTTTCTAACAACAATGTCGTGACGTACTTCCATAGGAAGTAGTCAATGCAAATGAGGTTTGACGAACTTCCCGGGCACTGCACCGAACCACATCTGTCGATGCAATGTTGAGGATTGTGGAGCAGACGAACATGAAAGCTGCAGTGGCTGTCCCAACATTTTATCCACACTAAGGAAAAACAAATTTTCTCACTTTGTTCGAATCCTTCCCTTTTTTTGCGTTTTGCATCATCACTGCTGCGCCAAAAAAGCGTTTCCAACTACGCATTGGTATGTGATTTTCCACCGTCTAGGTATATTCTATTTCTCCTGAAAGATTGCAACCAATGTGCTGAAACACTGACAATATCCAATTAGTCTATGTAAGCCTCTCGGGTGTACGGATACAATTTCACCTGTTACCTGTGCTGAAAGCCGTGTATTTTATTATTTAAAAACATTGATTTCGGTTGTTTACTTACCTCCGCACCAGCCTCTAAAAGCATAGATGCAACTGGCATTGCATATTTTGCATCACTATAGCTTACAGCACGCATTAGAGCTTCACCTCGATTGGAGTCTTTTACAACCACACTACTGTTTCGTGACAAGATAAATTTAAGAATTTCTGGACTCTGTCTTCCACAAGCATAGTCGAAAGGATTATTCCCATAATCATCAACAAGGTTAAGAATGTATGCCGGCGATTTTTCAATTAACAACTTTACAGTTGCTGAAAAATAATGCATACAGTAAATTAGCAATACAATAAATAGCTTTAAGCATACAATAAATTCAAGAATAAGAAAAATGAATATCGATATTAGTTACAATCGGAAATTGCATAGATTTTTGCGGAGTAGCAATAGAGATTTAATAAGAATTATTTTCTTGGTTAGTATTGTAAAGATTATGTTAATTTTATTAACAGTTAAATTTTGAGTTAAACTTCCTTTCCTATCGATTCTTAATTTCAACTTACCACTTCCGGCCAGAACGTAGCTTTAAAAATCACGTCTAAATGCTGATGAGAACGAGCGGTAATTAACCGCGAAGTTCTTCTGTCTTAGTAAGAGAGATACCAGATATTCTGGCTGCACACGTCCGCTCTTTTAGACTACTCTCTCGTAAGCTATTATTACGCCCGGCCGTACTTTAGACCCTCGATAGCTTTGCAGTCAATTAATGTTAAGGGGCCAACTCTGTTAGAACCGTGTTAGCTTCGGCTACATCTTAGTTAAGATTAGTTTAGTTTAATTCTTAGTCTCTTAAGTTTAAGCCCAAGTCTCGGCTTTATTGTACAACTCCAAGAAGTTTTGTTGAACTTTAGTTGGAATAATAAAGAGTTATTTCCTTTCTTACTTGCTTTTTCTTGTACACGAACTCAAGCGATTATTCGCTTATTAATTCTTAAGATTCATAACTTTCCACTGTAACTTCGAATTACACAGAATCCTACAGTATAATCAACATTATCTATTGAGGGAATTCCAGAACAGAAACTATGCACTATAACTTCAAATAGAACTTACCTGCATAATGCTTTTAAGAAGAAAAACCGGAGTAAAAGGATTTGCGTTTTACCAAGATCTTGATGAAATTTTGCACACTTGACTTTCAAAGGAAGAGCAAGGAGACATACATAAGATTTCGAAAAATCCCTCCAGGGGTTCCACACTCTTTATACATTTTTATGCAAATTTAATGAACTCTTGATTAAAAAGCTCAGCAATTTAAAAACTTTGTATTGCCAATCTGCAAAGCGTAATTGATTTATATTTCAAATTTAATAAAAACTAGAAAACAAAAGACATGTTATCACTCGAGAAAAGAAATGTATTTTACTTGTGCATTTTAAAGGTAAATTTGGAGATACTATGTTGCCACTACTTTTTTTTTTTTTTTTAATTCAGGCAGTGGAAAAGCAATGAATATGTTGCATTAGTGCCCTGTCATTCAGCAAAGCTTAAAATGTTTAATTTTTCTTTTAAAGTTTTTATGTTATTGATCAATAAACTAAGATATTACTGGAAAAACCAAACAACAAGTATTTCAAAGGCACCCCAAAATTAGTCCTGCAAAATTTACATATACAGAGGTTGTTAGCACATATTTTATACCATTTTCATTCTAACTGCAAAAATATTTTACTTAAACCTTTTGTGTTTTAAATGTTCCATTTGGTAAACGTTATTCTTAACTATCTTTAAACACAGTAATTTCAAAAACATTTAAGCTTTTTTTTTAGTAACGGAAGAGTTATTTAACCCTATTCCTCTTGAACAGGTTTCCGAAGTCCAAGGAGGGTTGCAGGTCGACTCCAGGACAATCCGCTTTTAAAAAGTCAAAAACGCAAAACTTCGCAAATAATCATTCACCGGGAGATTTAGTAGGGATATTTGTGAAGGGTATAGCTTTGATACTCATCTCTTGTTCCATTTGTTCCAAGAAATGAACAGTGGACTCTGCTATGTGCTTTGTTTTGATGCAGTTCTACTGATTGATGGCACTGTGGGTAAAGAGAAGGTATTTCGTATTTGAAATTTGGGTGTAGAATATGTGTCTGGTGATTAGGAGTTGACTTAAACAGTTTTTTGTATTCTGTTTAATTTTCATTTGTCATTCTATCAAAAACCAACAACAATTATAAATATTTGAAAAACTTTCTTTAGATTCTTTGAACCATGTTCTAAGATTTTTTCTTCTCTTTCATGATAATAAATGCATATTATTTTATTGCTTTCACTTTAATATATGCAAAATTCATCTACTGTGACAGCATTTTTTTCATTTTTGTCGGAATAATTTTTTCTCATAGAGGATCCTGCTGCGTGTTCTGCTTTCGGCGATATGTCGTGAAGAAAGACGATTGCCATTACGTTTTTTCACCTTTTTAACATTCATATCAGCATTAATCACTTTGTTTACAGTTGACACCGAGGATTTGAATGATCCTTCTTTTCCTTAGACATCTATTTTGAACAATTTTTCTTCTTGAAGCCAAACTTTGACATTTTTTTCTTTCCTTATTGACAATACTATTGATCGTTGTTTTAGATATAAATCTCATGGCTTTAACAGCATTTTTAATAACTAAATATGAATAATTTTCTTCGAAAAGAGCAGAAACGCAGCCTTCCGTCCATTACTGCTTTAAAAGCGCCATTTTGCATGAAAATAAAATTGTGAAATACCAGATGATAATTTCAGAATATACTTGCAGTTAAAAAAAATTTCCAAGCAAGCAAATTTTTTATAGCAAAATAAAGTCTTACGCATAATTCTGAATCTTGTCGTTTGACTTCTCCAATAATCATGATTTGGCATGTTATTTTAACCTAAACTAAGAGATGTGAACGATTTATGCAGGTTCATATCAGTTGTTAATAATTACTGGCTGAACCTCTGAAATTATACTAACTGAATTCCTTAAAGTTGTCTACAGTGGGGTCATAAAAGAAACTTTGCCGATATTTGAACCTCTACCTGAACCTCTTAATACAATCAAAATCATTAATCAAAGAAATCACATATTCAAATATGAAGGCATAATAAATGGTGAATATTCGTACTACTTGGGAAACTTTAGAATATCATTCATTTTTATATTACTTATATTTTGTGCCAAAAACTTAACACTTTTAGACTTTCTTCATACCTAAAAAACATTGTTACTTTATTCAAAAATCTTAAAAGACTTTTGTGTATCTTTTCATATCTAACAAGCATACACTTTTATTCTACTTTAACTCCTAAAACTTAGGACTTTTGTGTACTTTTTCATATCTAAAAATGTGTAAATAATACACATTTTGTAAAAAAAAAACTTGACAGGAAATATAGTCGTTCAGGGTTTTGGAAATGTACGCCAGAATGGTCATTTTGACTGTTATTATAATTCATTTGATTTCTCTTATTTCTCAGTTCGTATTTTCTAATGGAGGCATATAGTCGTTCAGATTTTAGAAAATATCACCAGAAAGGTATTTTGACTGTAACTATAATTCATTTTTTCTGTTATTTCCGAGCTCTTATTTTTTAACGGAGGTATTTTATTATAATTAGATATTTTGATATAATTAAGCATCCTGCCTACAAATTGGTAATAACGTTACGCAAATTGCAATTTCCTAATAGTCTAAACGTATTAATAGTAGTAATACCAGTGCACAAATGCCATTAACCGTTCATTTACTATTCTCTTCATTAAACATTGAATACGGCTAACTGCTTTTCTTTTACATAGCTTATTTGAGTATATAAGGGAAAAAAATATAAACATATTCAAAATAATTTTAACATTACCTGAAGGTTTTATTGCAAAAGCGATATGCAGAGCTGTCTTTCCATATATGTCAGTCTTGGTAACATCAGCTCCCTTTTTTAGAAGCAATCTAATTAACTCGTAATCCGAAATGATCGCTAAAAGAAGGTAAGTTAAATTTCAGTTAAAAGGGTATGAGAAGTTTTCTGAAAAAAAAAAAAAAAAAAAAATTGCTGAAGAGATTTCTTCTAGAAAGTAAGTAAACACTAATTTGTTTATGATTTATTAAAAAGATTTAAAAGAAGTTCCTATCAAAGTGCAATGTGTAACAATTATTGAAATCTCTGTATAAATTTTCTGTACAAATATTTTATTAAAAAAGACTATTTTGTGATTTTGTTTTGTAGTTTATTACAAAAGTTATACGTAAATGAAAAATGTATACACATATTTAAAATAATTTTAACATTACCTGAAGATTTTATACAAGTGTAATGCAGGGCTGTTTTTCCATTTATATCTGTCATGTTAACATCAGCTCCCTTTTCTAGAAGCAATCTAATTAACTTGAAATTTGAATTATTGAACGCTAGAGGAAGAAAAATAAATATCATTGTAAGTCCAATTATAAAGATATACGAAATTTTCTGAAAATTAAATTTTCTTAAAGATACTTTTTTAGTTAGTCTGTAAATAGGAATTCGTGTACGATTTATTAAAAATATTTTTAAGAAGTTATCAAAGTACAATATTTAACAATGAGTGAAATCTCTGTATAAATATTATATTAAAAAAGACTACTTTGTGATTTTGTTTTATTGTTTATCATAAAGTTAAACGTAAATGAAAAAACATATAAACATATACAAAATAGTTTTAATATTATCTGAAGATTCACTTTGACAAGCCAAATGCTCAGCTGTTCGACGCTCCTTGTCTGTCATGTTAGCATAAGCTCCTTTTTCTAGGAGCAATCTAATTAACTCGTAATCTGAATTATAGGCCGCTAGAGGAAGAAAAATAAATACCATTGCAAGTCTAATTATAAGGACATAAAACATTTTTTAAAGAGATTTCTTCTGGAAAGTACGTAAATATGAATTTGTGTAGGATTTATTAAAATGAATTTTAAAACATTACCAAAGTGCAATGTTTAACAATGATTGAATTCTCTGTATAGATTTTCTGTATAAATACTTTGTTAAAAAAAAGAGACAATTTTGTGATTTTTTTACATCCTTGTACGAGAAGTAGAAAGGAGGTATTGTAATGGCGAAAAATTTCGAGTATCATTATTTCAACGAAAATATCCATTTTGACCGCTGCCGAACGCAGTTTAACGATGTTTTTGTGTGACATCTCACTTTATTAAGCATTGTCTTAGAAGAGCAGGCATTAAGTACTCTGTCTAAATCATTTTGGCTGATAGGGATATGAAAATTTGAATTAAACCTGAGGAGGCGGTATAAGTTGGATGACTATCAGTTGGAGGATTTGTAAATACAGTCAAAAGTCGTTAATTCGGACGTCCATAATCCGGACCTCAAAGCTAAAAACTTTCTGCGCATGCGCCGCGTTAACACATGTGCATAGGCGTTTTACGTTGTGCGGTAAGACCTGACTGCCGCGCATATGCTGTGCGCAAGTGCAGAATACGTTTTCGCCTGCGCGTTTAATGTATAACGGGACGGTGTAAGCTAAAATTATCTAATATATATATTTCAGTTAATGTTAATGATTGCGTTGTTCCTTAAACTTCAAATTGGATCCCGCTTATTATTTTTTGCAGACTGTAAGAGCAATTTTATAAAAGTAACATGAACTTTCAATATGTCATATAGAATTTCCGATGCTGTGGAACTTCCCAAAGGATCTACAAACGAAAGTATGTTTCGATGTCCAACAAACAAAAGTGGAATTGCTGCAAAAAATGGATAAAGACATGAAGAATGTGACAGAGAGGTTAGTGAAAACGAAAACATTTCGAATTGACAAGTTAGTCGGTATTCTCGGCACAGCAATTAACCGGGACTTGAACAGCGGAACTTTGTAACTGAACAAGAAATATGTCTGTTTATAGAATTAAAGAGAAAATATTAATCACATAAACGAAGACAACTTAAACAACTTACATTGAAAGAAATGTTTAATAAAGTAAACAAATAAATATTAAGCTTTTTGTTTGTTTGTAAATTGTGATACCCTTTAGATCATAATTGCTCATTATTTTATAAATTACGGTTTCATATTTTTAATTTTAGAATTTCTGCATGCCATCTTACGAGATTTAAACTGATGATCTATAATCCGGAAAAATCGATAATCCGGAATCGCCGAAGTCCCTACGAGTCCGGATTAACGACTTTTGACTGTAGTACAAGTACTGAAATGATTTTATATAATGCAAAAAATCGTTGTTTCTGGCGTTTTCTTTTCTTTATTGCATTTATTAAAATAATTAATCTATTTCAATATTCTAAGACTGCTAAATAGCTCCTTAACAGAGAACTCTTCTTTGTTACTCTTTTCTTACGAGAATTAGACAGAAATTAAATAATTTCCTTTAACTGTTCAGTATAACTTCAAAATTTTAACAGATGCTTTTTGTGCTCACAAAAGAGCTCAACTAGCGCTTCCCTCCTGCAATCCAAAAATAGCTCCTCAAAGTTCCCGACTGTAATAATTCAAGGGTCCTTCGGTGGGTGAAGGTTGCTCTTTTTTCTCTCTCTGATAGATGGAGAATAACCATGTTCCTTTGCCTTCGGGCAGCATATAAGCATTCTGTACCGCGCCACACGCATAGGGAAAAACCCGTGCTTATGATTGGATATAATTTCCGATGATATCATTTTCTCTTAGCGTAATAACGTTTAGGCGGGGTTCTTACGGGTTTTTTTTTCCGTTGAACGAGGCGCATGAGTGAAACGGAAGCGGGAAAATTATCACTTGTTTTCTTTGAAACGAAGAAAACTAGAATTGTAAGATGTGTAATATCATAGCAACAAAAATGCAATGCACGTAATAATCTTTTCGGTACTGCTGTCAAAATGTAAACAAACTGTATGGAGATGTACTCTTGAGCCCAAGCAAAGTTAAGGCATTCCTAAGCGTAGAAGAAATGATGTCATGTGAGCCTAATAATACTGCTACGAATATGGATATTTCTACAATGGAGAACGGAAACACGGATAATTCGGACTTGGACTATGAAACAGCTGCTCTTGAAACTAACCTCGAAATACGCCTGCTAGAAGCGAGCATCGAGCAAAACGGACAAATTGAAGTTCAAATGAATGCTGTACGAGCAGTCTCGGATCCGGACCAATATACTTCTATTCTGGCGAAGAATATTCGTGATAAGATGAAGAAATTGGAGCACCTGAAGGGTAAGTGAGCCTTTCATACGTCTCACTGTGCTAAGAACCCATTAGATAGCCTTGCTAATAATTTAAATGCTAATTTAAATCTTAACGCTAAACGAAAGCAAAATAAAATTTTAGATGATTCTGATGATAATTCCAAACATGAGAATAGTTTTGTTAAGCCTACTTGATATACAAAACACACAAGAACCAATAGCTTTGGAGACTCACCCACTGTAATTACTATTAAAAATAAATTTACTCTCCTAATAATATTCCTATTAACACCCAGACTGCGACCACCACCACAAACCAATGTTCCACCTCGAGCCAAAATTTAAACAGACCCTGCACTGCATCCCCCAACAAAATCAGTTCCACCAGTTATGGTCAAGCCCCCGGATAACTACAAATTCAACCCGTAATTAAAATTCCTCGCAGACACAACAAAAGTCAAATTTTCCGGCAAAATTAGCAGAGGATTCTTTAAAATTTTACCTAAAACTTCTGATGACCACAGAATACTCACACAATACCTAAAAGACAAACACGATGAACATTACATCATTAATGCCAACACCAACTTCCAATCAAAAGAGCAGTGATTAAAGGACTCCCATTGACTTGGAATCGAAAAAAAAATTAAAGACATTTTAACAGATGAAGGATTTACACTACACAAAGTAGTACAAATGACTCGCAACAAAACACGATAAATCATGCCACTTTCACAGATTCAAATTTTACATACACGCAATGTAGAGGATCTATTCAACATCACACACATGTCGTTATTCATAGTACAAACTGAACAATATGTTAGCAAGAATCTCATTCCGCAATGACACAACTGCCAAAAATGGCATCACTCTTCAGAAAACTGCTTCATCGCTCCCCGTTGTGCCAAATGCATCGGGGAACACATCCCAGCTACATGCCCACAAAAAGGTCACATGGAAAATTCCACTGGTGTAAACTGTCAGAAATCTCCTCCCGCATCCTACAGCGGTTGCAAGAAATTCCCCAAACACAGAAATAATAACGCTCAATGCCCCATAAATCATATTCAGAAAATCTTTCTAACAAAAATCAAACTTCACAGAAAACTCTACTTCCAACACTCACAGCCAATCAGAACCACCAAGAAAGGGATCTATTGCGAGGCACTACGTCTTATAGCCTTTATCCCCACATCATCAAAGAATTATTTTTACAGCCAAAAAGAGGGTTCCGCAAAGAGGTAAAAATTTAGTGCCAAAATGTTAAAATAACAAATGAATAACTGCCTAGCACAGTCAAAAAAAGTAAAAATACTGAAGGACTAAATTTAGTAATTTTGGGGTCGAAAAACGGGGCAGAATCAATTTTGAAGAGGTTAAATCATGAATTTTGAAAAGCATCGAAATTTCCTTGATAAATGGTCATGTTATGTTAACAACACGAGAGCGGAAACACTCGCGAAACAGCTTTCATGTCGCAAGAGCTTCGGGTCTGAGAGGGGGGAGGAGCGAGAACTTGATTATTAAATTTCGATGATGGCAGAATTCATTCAAGCGTTTAAGTAAAACAAATTCATAAATTTTTGAGAGCAATGATAAAAGACTTATAGGACTGTAATTGACGGAGAGGTTTAAATTTTGACACGGTTTTGGAATAGGAATGACTGCGGCAATTTTCCAACAGTCAGAAAAGTAACCCCTGTTAAGCATAAGGTTAATCAAAACCGTAATCCATACAATATACATTATGGGGAAGTTTTTGATCACGCGATTCGAAATTTGATCTATGTCAGGCGCCTTCTTTGGCTTCATTTTATCAATGAGCTCTAGCACCTCAGTTTTATCAGTCGGCCTGAGATCTGGCATGATGGGTTGTGTTAAGAAATGTTCAACACGTGAGTGTATTCGCCACTGTGTAACCGGGCGGTTACAGTAGTCATCGTTATATGGACTGAATTGTGTAGCAAGGCTATCAGCAATTACTTCAGCTTTGTCAGTGTCTATAAAAGCCACTTGGTTAGCATTGGCCGTTTCAAGCGGCGAAATGTGTTTATATTGTTTGCATAGTCGGGCAGCAGCGTGCCAAAGCGACTTGTCATCAGTCGTTAGGGTCTCAATGTAGTTTTTCCACTCCGCTTGTTTTCGCAAAAAGGTTTCAGACCTAATCTCGTTCTGCAGTCTGCGAAATTGAGCACGGATAATGTGATCACGTGCTTTTTGCCAAAGTA